TGGATCAGGGGATGTATCTGCAGGTCCCGCCTCCTCCGCCCTCCCAGGTGTGGCAGTCCATGTGGCAGACCACGCCGGATGATGGGTCCTACGCCAGCGGTGGTGGTACAAGCTGCAATCAAGCAAACCTGGATGGTCAAGAGTAAGTTGTCTTGTTACAGTTTCTTTCTTTTTATCTTTTAAAGAATGAAACTTTACGAGTGACTCCGGTTTAAGTAATTATAATAAAAATGTGGTTCGTTTAATTGTGCTATGCAAGTTGATATTCTAAGGACTATATTTGGTGTTAGCGTTGGTGTTGGTGATGGTGTTGTACATCATGTTTCAGAACATCTGAACATGTACCTTGGTCCTTGGATAAGAATTTATTCAAGGATGTATTCCATCAAACCTTTTCCAGACTAATGCCTGGAGATAATTTACTTCTCTTTCAAGGGTTCCGTGTGATGAATTATTGAAGACTAGCTTCATGCATGTGTTGTTTTGCATGTAGATTGGAAATACGGGATACACGCAGACAGAGAAAGCAAGAGAAAATGTACCCATATGGAAAAAATAGACTCGAATATATACATGCAGAGAGGGGAGAGAAAAGGGAGGGAGTATAGTTCTAAAACACAATTTCTTTTTTCTGTCATCTCAGGGTGTTTAATGAGAAGTTAATGATAATAGCTTTTGCTAGAAAGCGTGGCCCTAAAAGTAAAATGATAAGAAAATAGTTCTTAGTTATTTGTTGTTAATTAGTTAAGTTCGAAATATCTTTTGTTTTCTTTTGGTTTTGTTAATGTGGAATGGAGAAGATAACCTTCTGGGTTTTTGTTTTGATCAGTAAGCAATCATCGGATAGTGAACTTCTAGGTTTGTTTTAATTCTATCTCATGTCTACTCCTTTTGTGCTTCTTCACCACGATTCCCTTATCTTTTCATGTCATGTTGTATTTTAATCAAAAGAAAACAATTTTCATTTGTCAAAATTTATGAAGTCTATTTTTCCTGATAGGTTGTTTCATGTTATTGTGTAAAGCTGACAGCATGTGTTAATGGGAATAGAGAAGTGTAGTTATTCGCATATAAGGTGTGTTCGTTAAATGTTTTGGGCTGCGAAACATGGATGTATTAATGGAGTGATTTGGGTTTTAGTCACTTATAGGGCATAAGACTTTTTATATATTTTCATTGTCATCATAGCTTCTTAGTGGTAAACCAGTTGCTAAAGAGGAGAGGAATCTATCAATTTTCTAAATTCCCTAAATGGAGTCACTTACTTTAAAACTAAGGGGAATGCTATCAATATGGAAGACAGAATTAAACTAACCCATACATCCCATTTAAAGTAAGTCGTTTTCCATGTAGAGAATTCTGGAAATCCTTTAGTTTTTTCTTTTTCCTTCTAATTTTTAGGAGGAGATTTTAGCTATTAAACTTCCTCCCTTAAAACAAGCCTTAAAAATCATTGAAGGAATATGTTGTGGAAAACTGAGTTGTTTGTAATTTTTGACAGGAGAACTCGTATTAGACTGTTATCTCAGGACGTCTCATTGTAATTTTCTGCTAATATTTGTACAAAGAGCAGTTGGCTATAAATGACAAATCTTACTATACAGCTGTCCTAGTATACAAAACAATAGATCAAAGTCCAAACCATGTAATTAATTGCATAAAACACAGAGAATCACATCCTGTAAGTTTGGGAATCTTGCCGGTTTCTGCAAGTGTGGCCAAAGAAATTGGAGAAAAAATAAAGGGGAGAGGTAGTTTGCAGTTGAGTTATCAAATCTGTTGGTCTTGCAAAGCGTAATATTAGAGGAACAAACTCTAGTTTGCAAACACGATGACATGCTCCAAGAAGTCCTCTTTTCTCTCTATTTGCGTGATTTTTGAGTGAATAATTACATTCCTGGAGTATCATAGTTAACCTGCTTGGTCCCACTTTTAATTTTGTCTTCTATTTGACAAAATAGATAGAAATTTATGTATTAATCATTACATTTATAAAAGATACCATTCACCTGGTGAATGATTCAGTTAAACACTTAATGATGCAAATGTCGTGACCATCAATCACTTCTAGGCATGGAAGTGATAAATCCTTGGAAATTCACACTCCACATCCACACTCCTGTTTAAAGAGTGTGATTACAGTCTGTAGTTTGTTATAAACAAACAAGCTTGTGAATGAGGTAACACTACGAGTGGTCAAGTGGTCATAAAACATAAATCCTGCACAAACCGTATGGAGCTGGCAATTCAGATAATTCGTTAAAATATAAAATTTGGTTGTTTTTAACTAAGAACCTGACAGTTTAGTGTGGTTCTTTGTTTTTGCTGGCAAACTAAAACTGAATTGAATTCCTTCACTTCACTTCACTGTCTTCCCTTCAGCTTTTCATTTCCCTTCACAAAATTTCTTCAGTGTTCTTCACAGCTTAAAATTTCCCCAAAATAACAGCAGGTAGGACAAAAAATTGGGGTAATGAGGGTGGGGGAACTAGGTTTTGTTTGTCCATGGATTTCAAGTATTAAGAGGGAATACTGCTTCCATGGTGCTGCAAAAACTGAATTGAGTGGATTAAGTGTAACAACCTTTGGAAAGATCAAAATGAATTCAAATAACAAATAGCTAATTAGATTCCATGGTCTGGAATTTGAGTGAATCGAGTTCGGGCATGTTTATTTGGCTTTATTTTCTATGCATATATCTTAATTTCGGAATGTTCGAATATATGTTACTGCTTTTATGGGTCTTTCTAATCAAAGATGCTGGTTGAACCATGAGGTTGTGTTTCACACTTGACATTGACTTACTAAATGACAAACATCGCGTATTAATGGTAGTATTTGGAATGACGTGGACTTATTTTCTTTCCTTAATTTTCTCAAACAGTTTTGGTAGTGATGCCACGTGGCTTGATAATTATTAAAAGCAAAGTCAAATTCCATAGCTAAGCTTAATTATGTTATGCAAAATATTTGTTCAGTTTCCTCATAGATATTGCATTATTGTCATGTTCATTGATATTAACTACACCATTCAAAAAATATCTTTTAGGTTATTCACTAAAAGAATTTAAAAGGCTTTCTCTCTTTCATTCTTTTTGGTTCTTCCAAATACTAATTATGGAAGCATATCTCTCCACGTCTGTTGATTTGCTCTTTCTAGAGATTGGTACCTTTACCATTCCAAAATGTTACTGCTACAACTATTCTTGGATTCCTTTTCGTAGAAAGAAAGGAAAAAGAAATTATTCATACTAGTGGAGAAGGTTTGCAAGAACGAAGGTGGGTTATGCCTTTTCAGACTAGAAGTAGGGTTTGAAACCATGGTGGAGCAAAGGCAGTCATAATAATGGTGTTGTAAGGTGCATTTATGATTCTGAACTTGTGCTCCTATTCTAGTGGCTAAGGTTCCAGGGTTGGTACTGGTGTAAGATAGACGTTTGGAGAATCATGGATTTCTCATATCATTATGATATGCTTATTAGATTAATCTGTCACATATGTCCCAAGAATGGTGTTTTTAGCTTATAACTTTATTCAGCTTCAAAAGATCATAATATCTTGCATATATATCGAAGATTCTTCAATAAAATTTAGTCATTGTCTAATGTTGAATGGTTCACTGTTGGCAACATTCCAATGCATATATGTTATTACCAATTCTGCCTTTATTTTATTTTTACCCTTTTTCTTTTGCATTTTTTTTCCCCGGTTTAATGTTTTCCCTGTTAAACTGTTTTTGAGATGCATACAATTTATGAGGGGGACGTGTTAGTCTGAATTGACCTTATTGATATACTAAAAATGTAGACATTAACTATGCTTCACTCTCGTTTCTTGCAGTTGAAACAACTCATGCTGACTGAGCAGTGAGTGGCCGGCGATGAGAGGTCATTGATTGATGATGTTGCGCAGCATTTTACTTTTTTTCGAATACTGATGCACTTAATTGCAAATATCCATGGATATTGGCTTTAATGTGATGACTATTTTTTGCTTGTAGATATTTGTTTAAAACTTGATTCTGTTGTTGATTTATCGTACAATGTTTAAAACATCCAAAAGGAAAGACAAATTTGTCTGCTATGAAAGAACATTGCAGCAGTCCCAATTTCGATATTTTTATTCAATAAATAACCAAGTTACAATATTTGAACAGCAACTTTTGTAGGTCCAAATAACTGTTCAAGATTTTGTCCCCATCAAGCCCACTAGTTACGGATTCAGCCATTGATTGCTTCCCATGTAATTCAAATTGGAATACTCCGTTATCTGTATTTGCTTAATGAGTTAAAGTTTCAAGGATGGATTTTAGTAAAGATGTTGGTTTGATCGTGTGTCAATTTTTTCATAGAAACTACTTTGCACTATTTTTCCACATTTCAAGCTATTATTTTACGGTAGGTTCCTTGCGTAATACTCATATGTCCATCATTGAAACCTTACTTTCCATCTGAGTCACATGTTGGGCACGTAGAATATTACCTTGGAATTGCTGTTTAAGTAGCAAGGGTTATACAAGCAAATTAGTAAATGTAAATATCATTGATACTAAAACTAGTTTAGGTGGCATTAAGTGTTATTAAATGAAATATACAATTAAATGAATCACATAATTTTACCTTTCAACGAACATATAACATAAAACAATCAAGTAAACTTCTCGAGTTAATTAAAGTTCCAAGAACCAATTTGGAGTCGGCGGCTTGAATTCTTTCCAGCCGCCTATCTCTTCATTTGTCAAAATATACAATGAAATCAAATCTTTAGTAACCTTTGCACGCAAACCGTATTAACAACCATGAGAAAGAGCTTATGTAAATATAACTGTTTCATTGAATATTAATATAACGTCCATAACAAAGACAAATTTTTCAGCTACAGAAAAACATTTGTATCTGTCTGCTATAATATAACTGTGCATGTCTTCTAACTATGAAAATCAAACTCAGAACTATCTCATGCTAGGACAAAAAATACAAGATTAGAAGCTCCACCAAGAGCTACTTAGCACGATCAGTATCTCCGACCATCTTCATTTTCTTGCCTCTTCTTGTATATGTCAAAAATGGTTTCTCGAAACCACGCTTGGCATTTTCAGAAGCTCCACCATCCTCTGTATTTGCGTTAACCTTGCTGCTTGATTCGTTCTTTTCCTCACTGCTTCCATCCAACTGTTTACATTTCAATGGATTCTCAGTATCTGTCAGTGCCTTGGATTCTGTTTCGGGTTGAAGAAGTTCCAAAGGGAGAGAAGCAGGATCCAGATCCCAGCTACCTTTTGGAACATTTTGAGCTTCAAGACCAGTCAGCACGTATGACGGGACCTGATGAGAGAATCGAAACATCTCTTCTCTTGGAACTGTACGGAATTCCATTGGGTCCAAATGCTGGCAAAAAACTGACGTGAAGCCAGCAACTTTTATCAAAGGAGAGACAACGACACCATTGTCTTCAATGTAATCTTCAACAATCACCACGACGTCGTATTTATGTATCACGTCATCTTCAGTGAATTCATTCCAATCCACGGACCAGTTCCTATACAAAGCCCAGACATCTCCTTTTGCTGGAAAAATCTGGATTGCCCCTCTAGCACCTTTTCTCCACTTAACCTGATGCGAGAAAGAACTCAAATTCTTATTAACTACAGGCTTTCCAACTCTGAAATAACCGCTAGTTTTGGCAAAGCCAGAAGATACCCAGTTGAGGGGGCCAAATTCAGCAGTGCTTTTTGAGTTCAGCCAACTAATCTCCATCTTGAATGGCTCTCTAGACATGACATCATGGATGAGTGCATAGTAACGTGGCATGCCATCATCGTCGTCATATAGAGCCCAAACTTGGTTTTTAGAAAAAGATGCCTCTACTCTGTCCTTGTCAAAATTGCAAAAATTTGCATCTGGCACGCTCATCGACACGGTTTCTTCAACATTTTCATTTAACTCACCAGTGCCATCACACATGGAAGAGTTCTGAGGCTGGGCTGTCTTGCTGGAACAAAGTAAAGAAGCACCTTTATTTTTATGAATCTTCAAATCATTAACGGCTGATGTCTGCTCCTTTTCCATCTTCATGCCCTTCTCATTTGCAGATTCAAGTTCAGCACCAATGCTCCACTGGTTTAGCTTCTCAAGGATTTCTTTCTTTGCCTTTCTCATCAGCATGATACGAAGTTCAGATTGAGACAACTCCTTCGTGCTCGTGTACTGCTCACTAGCAGAAGTAACTTTTTCTGCTCCCAAATTGCCCTTTAGATTTCCCAGTGAAATTGTATGGGCCGCCCTGCTCCCTGCTGTACTTTGGTTTCTCTCTTTCACACTGATCCCCTTCTGCCCATCTATATGCCTCTTTTTGATTGGATTTTCTGAAGCTGAGGGAGCATCAGTTTTATCCTGCAGAGCCTCCTCACTCCCTGCCACAGATGCTGCCTCTCTGCGCCCTCTCTTGAGACTCTCACCTACTGACTGGACCCTGTGTGCAGTTTCAGTGTTTCTCGTAGCTGAAGCTGTCGCACTTTTGGAATTCCCTGCTCCAGCAGACGAACCTGGCTTCTGATGGTGGAAGGACCAAGGTACACGTGAACTGCAAATGCTTACAGAAGCGGGAGCAGACCTCTCTTTCGCCAAAAAGGGCTCTCGACAGTGGGGGCACATTAGAGTTTGGTTGAGATAAATCTTCAGGAACTCATATAGTATCTTGCACTTATTACATGACGTCCAAAAAGTTTGTCTTGATGCAGGAGGACTGGGGATCGACACAGAATTGCTGGCAGGAGTGTGCTGATGATGCCTGGCGGGTGTCTGGTTCCTTGGAATAGGCTGGGTGGGAAATGACTGAAAATTGGTGGCAATTGTAGGATTTTGATGATTACGAACATGAACATAAAGAAAATTGGCAGCAGCTTCTGGAGTCATGTGCCGAGGTGGAGTGGGAACAAACTGAGACCAGGTGGCTGTTTCTGGAGTCTTTTGATGAGTGGGAATATGTTGTCCACCATTGGCTGTTGACTGATACCTTGGCCAGAGTGGAGGAGGATTGTAATGTGAACTCCTGGTAGTAGCCGGATTCATTGGGCATGTTGGTATATTCTGGGCCTTGCCAGAAGTTTCCATATTCCTTTCAGACAGTGAGCTCGAGCAGCTGGTGAAATTCCCAACCATATTTCTATCCACTGGAAGTGGAGGATATCCAACTGAAACCCTCTGGTGAACTCTGAAATTCAGCTTAAGATCATACTGTAGTTTTTTGTCCTTATCAAACAGCACGCTCCGTGCTTGAGTAAGAATTTTGAATGCTTCTTCGGCCCTGAAGGACTTGTTTTTATCAGGGTGAAGAGCCAGAGCCATTCTTTTGTGCGCTTTACGCAAGGTGTCCACGTCAGCCAAGGGGTTGACACCAAGAATCCCATACCAGTTTACTACTCCATTTATTTTCTTCTCATAGCCATCATAGAAATTAATGACCTTGAGGAGCTGAGAGAGCTCGTCAAGTGTAGGAAATAGAGTTTCTGCCTTCAAAGCAAATTTTTTGGCTTCAGCAATGTCCTCCTCATCTAATTTCTTCTCGGCGATAGCTTTACATCTAATAGCCTCATCTTTATTACATTCCATTTTAGATATTCTCGTATTTGACTCCGCAAACCTAGTAAACCAGAAGAATTAATTTCAACATAAGAAACATATTTAGCAAAAGCATATTGCCAAGGATCAATCCACATTAGCAATAAGTAATGATAAAGCATGAATATTATGGGGACATACTAATCTCTCAAATAATGAATTTAAACTCGAAAGGAAACAGTAAAAACAGGAAAAAAATTCTCCAAAATCCTGAAGAAGCCACTCTTAAAGGCTAGGAAAACATGCGAATGAATGCATCTTCCTAGCAAAAAGTTAATGAAACCACCAATCAGGTATTCAAATAATTTTAATGACTTAAATGCCAATTCCAATTATGCAATTGAATGTCTCTTTTGTTCAAAGATTTATGTTCTGTACCTAAAAGGATTTGACAATTATCATCTAAATACTGAAAAATAGTAGCTAAAAGAAGTGGACAAAGTATGCAATCCAGTAATCAGGAATGGGCTTACGGGAAAGGCACCCTAAAACTGGTGTGTAATTGGAAATATAGCTACCTATCTTCTCCACACACATTCTATTATAACAGAAGCCAGCAGAAATTAAACCGTCAATTTTTTCTTTCAAAAAGAAAATCCAGGCATGAATTTTACGGGATATGTGCATCATTTTAAGTAAAATTTGACTTTCATGTTTAAAAAAACTCGATGATTCAACTTACTACTAGAGAAGTCTACGTGACCTCTGGTCCAAACAGAAGGAAAAAAAAAGGACTAATTAGATGGGGGCATTTTGAAGAAGTGGATCTGAACTAGCCAAAGCCTGAATCAAGATTAGAAGAAATCAATGATATCATGATTTATGGAAATTATACAAGTCAAGAAGGCAATGAAATCTATAATACACGTCAGCAACTAAATACATAAAAGCATGCATAGGTAAGTAGTCACATCACATGCGCTAATGGATACACATAGATGTACACATACACACGTATTATCATTACAATTGATCTCAATAGCTTTGCAAACATCATAATGGAAACAGCAACTGACAAACTACATTACCAAACTTCTGAGCGCCGCAATTATATTCGGAAGCAATCAAAATTGTAAGACCATCTATATTCATTATATGGGATACACAATCTATCGAGTGTAACTGAAAATAACAGAAGCGTTAAAAGCTATAAGCCAATAACATAATCCATAAAAATATGACACTAATTTTTAAGGATATCCTAATTGGTAAGATCCAAAAAGTTGAATGTTTCTGTCTGCATTGGTTCCATACAAGTCTGAAAAGCCAAAAGATGTGGAGAATGCAGCGGAAAGAAATGTGGCTCTGAAAAAAAGCATTGTTGTCAGGCAGGATATCTAAATTTTTTGAGTTCTATAAAATTGCGACTTAATGTGTTGCCTGTTTTGATTCATTAAATAGAAACATCTTAATGAAATCATATAAGAACAATTAAAGGCATAAACAAAACTCAACAAAATAAATTACCGAACACTAAAACTCCATGCCAAAGCGGCTTCAAAACTCCGCAGAAAGCAATATCCACACACATAGATATTTTACCACACACATAGATATTCTACCCTTACACAATAGAAAGCAAAAGGCAATATCCTTTAAATAATTCAAACAGATATCAGCAACCTTCACAAGAACTCATATGTGTATCTGCATAAAATAATAACCAATCGATGCCCTGTATCCATCATTTAAAAACCCTTCAAGTTTTCATGAAAGATCCAATCTTCAGCTACAGTAGAAACTTAATTCTTTCCTCTTCCTACAATGCAAGTAAAAATTCTGATTCAAAATATGCTTCAAATGAAGCTCGACAATAGTTTCTATTCTTAAAAGAAGTTCCAAGCAACTGAAACCAAAACATCAGAAACACCCATCAAATAGTTCAAACATAACCAGTGATCCACACCTGATATTTTTGAGTGAGCAAAAAAGATTCCAATCCTCAGCGATAGCGAAGTTTTCTCTAAAAGGAAAAGGAAAAAGCATAATTATATACAACCCACTTGAAATGGAATGTAAATTCAAAATTCAAAAAATCCATAAAATAAAGATTTATACATGATCAAGATTCACATGCAAAATCACCAAATGTAGCAATTTGACTATAACCCTGAATTCCCACATCATCAATAAACATGCAATCAACATTCTGAGCTCTATAATAATACATACATGGACATGTATATATGATCAAACGGCAATGGAGATACATATACACGTAGATACGTACAGAAAACCTTCAAGATATATATAATTTACCTCCTTCGATAGTAATCTGAAAATCGAGGCGCCGTTTGATGAGTTTGTTGCAAAAGAAAAATGATGAAATAATGATTTTACACCTTTCTTTGGGCACCCCGGATCCAAAAAAATTTAGCAGAACAAATTCTTCTTGTTAAATTTAGGAAACCCAAAAATTTGTTTGATAGAAAACTGTGAAAGAAACTGCAGATGGAATGAGTATATGACAATGCCACCTATTTTTTGCAGTTGAAGAGCCACTTTTATTTTTTGGATTGTTTGAGGCAATTTAAAGTTAAACCCTAACCATGGTTAAATTTTAACCAATGTTAATTTCAATTGATGTCAGTAAGTTGGATTTACCGGAACCTTTGCATTAATTGGATTTTCCTTTTTCTGTTCATATTTTAATGATTTTTTAAAATTATTTATTTCCTTTTGAGACACGAGATATTAAATTATATACTCTTGCTCGAATCAAGTCGCGATATTTATCGATTTATTCCCATTTTAAGCAAATAATTGTAATTTAGTATTTTTTTATCGAACTTATGTAACTATATTTCATGATAAAAGTCATGTTATAGTATTAATATCAAACTTATGTAAGATCATTATAATCTGACTTTTATTACAAACCAATTTCATTTATTACACAAACCAATTTCATTTATTACATGGCATGGTTAATGAGAGTGGGATCCACACGACGCACATTTCATCAGTCATCACCAAAGGCGTCCCACGAAATACATGAGCTGTCATCACCGAATGCCGCTCTTGTTTTTCATGCTAGAGAAATTATCTGGTGTGTATGATCCTAGCACCAGATGAGACCAGCTTTCATCCTCTGATGCAAGTCATACACCATTGTCCAATTTTAATGCTCTACCTGCAGAAATTAGTTTAGCTGCATATGGTTGGCAAAATAGATCATAAAACATGCTGTTTTCATACATCAGATGTCAAAGGATGTTCTGTACTTCCAATTTCAAGGATTTCAATAAGATAAAGCTAATTAGAAGTATTAACAACATAATTCGAATGTTAAAAGAATCGAAAACTTTGTTATTAAGGATAAAATATTGTAGCTACAAATGAGGATCATAAGGTGATTATCCTGATCAATGTTTTCCTCATGAACATAATCTCCAGAAACTGAAATACATGTGAACTCTTCACAACATAATCACTTGTGGTGAAATAAAGAACTTGAAACCAAATAGACAGACAGCAATAGGTGGATAGCAGTGTACATTTGTTTCAACCGTTAGCAAAAAGTGCGGGTAACAAGCATCTTTGTTTACGGCGCTTCAGAATAAAGAAAATGAACCAGCTAAGGTAGGATGAAAAAGGTACCAAATGCCCTCGTCCTCGTGCTTGGAACACATTTATTGTGCAGATCAAACGGAACTTAAGATAAAGTTGTGGCTTCACTCTTATATGTATATATGTTTTGTGTGTGTACAAGAAGCACCTCTGCACCTGCATATCGGTGTATCACACACTCTATCCAAAAAAGGCATGTGAGATTATTAAAATTTAAACAACATTCACTTTGGTCTAATTTTTATATGTAACATAACTGTTAGAAGCACAATAAAGCGGTCAAGTAGCATGGTTCCTTTATATATATGCTCCTTTTATAATAGACAAGCTTTCTTGAAATGGCTTATCATTGATCTCAGTTCAATGGAATATTCAGTGTTCATATTTTGATAAGTTCATTTTGTGTTGTCCCAGAAACAAATTCCATTTCCAAGAAGACACTCGAAACTAGAAAGTTAAAGAAACCCACCGGTGGACTGTTTCTAAAGTGAATGACACAGGCCTTTAACTTTCAGAATTAGACTTGACTTTCGAGTTTTAGGACATAAAGAGATGATGCCTCAATGCATTAGCTAACTTGGTTTTGAAATCAGAATACTTATTTTCCATAGGTTTTTAATGGTTAGTATCAAAATTCTTGCTATTCTTGCTAGATTACCTATACATGTGTCTTGTGTCAATCTTCCTAATGACTCTTGACTTCATGTTTTCTTTCTTCACCTGTCAGAAACAATCAGGTGTCTTCCTTTTCTCCCCCTCATCTTCCACCATTTTTCAATGATTTGACAGAAATGTGTATTAATTCATCTTATAAGATTTGACGAAGTCATAGAGTTCATGTCAACTTATTACAACCCTTCTCATGTACCTGAACTTACGACCAGCTAATAGAAGGCCAAGAATATCTTCGAGGAAGTGCACAATCCCATCTAATGGCAGACACAGCAAATGCATCAGCAATTCTTTCCTGCCTCAGCAAAGTGTCCAGTTTATGAGGAAAAGAATAATCTACCTTTCTCTTGTTGAAATTAGATTAAAGTAAATTCCATGATCAGTCTGAAAGTACATCAACGGAATTTATACAAATTAGAATCTAAATGTGTTTGGAGGCTGATACATATCTTGATGAAATGACCATCAACCTTCACATGTGAAGCATATGGTTATATGCTATAAATGATTTCACAGTACAATATTATCAGCAAGGATTCCACACAATAATGCATGTGTATGTGGCTGAGAAATCAGACTTTACAAGCCGAAACAAGCTTCATTGAGATAGTTTCAACAATTGTCGATGCATGTTTTAATAAACAAAATATAGCTTCTTTTTTTGTCCCTGCCACTATTATGTGCTATGTAATCCTCCCTTCAAGACATGTTATCAAGGTTTTCAACAGCCTCCATCACTTCACAGTCTACTCTATTGTCAGTCTCCAGTTCCAAAATGTGAGAGAGACTAAAAAAAATACCAGACATGGTACTCTAATAGCCGGGTTATTCTTTCACATTCAGGCATATCCTTCCAAATTGCCTTTAGATTTCCAGAGAAGTTTTATGGGCAACCATATTATGCACCGTCAATGGGTTTCCTTCTTTGGCATCGTTCCATTTCTGTCCATCTACATGCCTCTTTTTCATTGGCTTCTCGGAAGCTGAGGGAGTATCAGTTGTGTCTGGGGCAATGTTATTCTTTTGTAGAGCCTCCTCACTCCCCGCCATAGCTACTACCTCTTCACGCCCTCTCTTGAGACCCTCAAAAACTGACTGGACCTTCTGTGCAATTTGAGCGATTATGGTATCTGAAGCTGTCACACTTCCAGAACCCCCAGTTGCGGCAGCCATACCTGGCTTCTGATGGTGGAAGGCAAAACAACCAGGTGAACTGTGAGTACTTCCAGCTGGAGTGGCAGACTTCTGTATTGCAAGAAAGGCCTCTAGACAGAAGATGCACAGAAGATTTTGGTTGAGATAAATCTGGGGGTACTCACATTGCATCCTGCACCTATTACATATCCAAAATGTTTCAGGTCCTGGTGGAGGATAGGGGATTTGATATACTTTTGTCCATCATCGGGCCGGGGTTGAAAATAAAGCGGCCGACGCTCTTAGTCGTATCACTACGGTACTCTATTCCATGAGCACTACTGTGGTCGGATTTGAGCGTTTGAAGGTCGATTATCCTAGTTGTTCTGACTTTGACATCATCTTTCAGGACCTTTTAGACAATCCTTCTCATAAACATGCTTCTTTCTTGCTTAATAATGGTAATCTTTTCAAGGGTACCAAGTTATGTATTCCTTGTACCTCACTTCGTGATTTCCTAGTCTGGAACTACATGCAGGGGATCTCGCTGGTCATTTCGGTCAAGATAAAACAATCGCCTTAGCCGAGGATAGTTTTTATTGGCTGTCCCTTAAGAAAGACGTTGCTTGCATTGTCTCTCAGTGCCGTACGTGTCAATTGGGTAAGGCACGTCGTCAAAATACTGGGATGTATACTCCTCTTCCTATTCCTCATACTCCTTGGAGAGACCTTAGTATGGACTCTGTTCTCGGGTTAACTAAAACAGCTCGAGGTCATGACCCCATTTTCGTGGTAGTCGATAGGTTCTCCAAGATGACACACTTCATTCCATGTTCCAAGTCTTCTAATGCGTCTTATATAGCTAAGTTGTTCTTCAAAGAGGTTGTCCATCTCCATGGGCTTCCGGTCACTATTGTGTCTGATCGTGATGTTAAGTTTGTTAGTTACTTCTGGAAAACACTCTGGAAACTATTTGGGACGACACTTAAGTTCTCTTTTGCATTTCACCTCCAAACTGATGGTTAAATTGAAGGTGTGAACCGTAGTCTAGGTAATCTACTTCGTTGTTTGGTTGGGGATAAACCAAGGAATTGGGATCTTGTGTTACCCAGTACTGAGTTTGCTTACAATAATTCTGTTAATAGGTCTACCGATCATAGCCCCTTCGAGGTCGTTCAGGGTTTCTCTCCACATCAGCCGCTTGATCTACTTCCTTTGCCCACTGATTTTCGTCCCGCTGCCTCCTCCCAAGCTTTTGTTGATCATATACGTGGAGTTCTTTCTTCCCTCCAAGCATCATTTGTATCACCTAAGGCTGAAGAGACTTTTATTGTAACATATTTTACACAAGGAATGATCGGTCAACGTCTAATGTTTTTTAATCGTGATTGAGAGACATTCAGAATGATTGGTGATGGCACATTTCAGTTCAACAGTTGAAGGAATGTAATCTTATGCACTGCGTATCCGTGCGCAAATTTTAAACATAGTCAGAACATCAAGAAATTATAGAGCGCATTCCGCTATAGAGTCGGCTGCTCAACACAAACACCATTTTTCATTTACTTCAAATTTAGAAAACCATCTCAATGTGCTAATTCATCCACCAAATCACCTTTTCTCCCAAAATGCTACATTGTCATATGCAGGAAATCAATTGAGGTTTTGGAATTTCTCATTTCATTTTCTTGTTTATCTCAATCCATTTAGTTCAAGTATTTTGGTTACCAAAGGTATTTTATAATTAAGAGTGTTCAATTTTTCAAAACGGAATCAATAGAAATATAGAATAGCTGTATTGCTTCCAATCCTTCTTCCTTTAATTACATTATCAAGTGATAAACGGATATATAAGGTGGCTATATAGTTACTATTGGCACCAGTTTGACTAACTTTTATTATCACTTTTGCTCCGAGCTTTTGAATAAAGTTTAATTTTTGTTCAAAAATAATTTAAAAAAAAAACTTCATATTTCAGAATTGCTTTAAGAGAAAGTCACATTAAATCAATTTCTTCTAAAAGCTCTTCTAAATTAAAAAAGCACTTTAGTAAAATTAAGTAAACGAGTTCAAAAACAGCTTTTGAATCTTAAAAGCTCCTTTTAATTTTTCAAAAATCATGTCAAACGGGTCCTCAAAATTTTTTGTTACACAATGTTTCAAATATTTTTTATTTATGAAATAAACATAAATAAAATGACATAATAACCATTTAATTCTCTTATTTATTTTTTTGTAAACCAATAATATATATAATTTTGTTATTTTTTCTTAATTTTATTATCAACCAAAATAAATTGTTTTAATTTAAAAAGCATCTAAATCATATATACGCAGAAAAACTCTCACTATGTGATAGATAACTAGATTAAAGCATCACAACTAATTTACAGAAAGGAATGTCAATTGAACATAAAACCCCCAATTGGGTATCGGTAAGATCAGTGTACAAATTTCTCTGTCTAATCCATGGAATCAAAACTTGGAGCATACCATCCTAACTCGTTCACGATCTTCGTCATTCTTTCTTCTTGACCTTTTGAGTCCCCCAAGGCTGTTGTGAAAGGGTATATGTACGTTACTTTGGTAGCCATAGCTCGATATGCAACTACATCTCCATTCACCAAAAATTCAAGAACGTCTCGACCAAATCCTCCATCCACCTCAGCTTGCAGATACTGCCCTGGATTTTTTCCGACTATTAGTAAAGAATTCAAAGACAAAAACAGTTTACTCACTCTACCAATTGTAGCTCTTCACCAAAAACCAATACTCATCTTTTCCATATCAAAAGGACAGATCAACCATTTTCCATCTGGCAGCTAGTTTGGCACAAATTAAATGGAAGTTCACACCGACCGATTGATTGAAACTTTGACTAATAAGTTGGTCCACAATCTCTAAAAGGAACAAATTGGTCATTAACATTTCATTCTACTTGCACTATCGGTCCCCAACGAAGGAAACTGTTTAATCTCTAATCTTTTCATTTTTTTTCCATCTAAATCTATATTAAATCGTCACGTGGCCCTTACATGTTCAACTTTAAGAAGTTGGGTTCTGTTTCCCAACTTGGAATGGTGCCTAGAAATTCAAATTGAACCATGTTTTCAGGAGGGTCGTGTGACAATTTAACGATGATTTGGACTGGATTCGTTGTCTGAATGGTTGAGGACCAACTTGCTCCATTTTTTAGATTGGGAATTAACTTCCCCTCAAATAATAAGGTAAGCCATTGTACAATTTTCCCCAATATTAATTAGAGTATCTTCAAGAGACTTTCTATTTTTATAGATCATATTTTACAATTTAGAGAGCATCTGTATATTTAGAGGGTAAAAAATTTTAAGTACTCCAACGGGCTCTTTATATTTAATATTTAATTTTACTACTCCAAAAAATATTTATTATTTTTCTCATAATTTTTCACTAGCTTTCCTTCAAATTATTATATTATTTTCATTTATTGAAGAAATACTTTGAATGTATTTAAAGAGCCTCAACCTTGAGGGATGTTCAATTGGTCAAGTCTTGGGTTTGCTCTCCAGTAGTCATCAGTTCGAGTCCTCTCATGGTCACTGAGGTGAGTACCCGTCAGTAAACTTTAGGACCCCATGGGATTAGTCGAGGTGCGCGCAATAAAAAAAAAAGTATTTAAAAAGCTTCTTGGAGCAAAATTTTAAGGGTTAACTCTTTAAAATAGAGAGTATCTTATGTTTAAAGAATATCTTGAAAATTCTCTTAGTCATGCATTTTCTAGATATACACTATGAGTGTGTTTGGGACACATTATTTTGAAAGAACATATTATTGAATAGTAGATTGATGGAGAATGTGTGGTTAAAAATGAAGGAAAAGTTATTGATATCATGGAAAATATTATTTTATTGAAGAATGTGTGGTTGAAAATGAGAATTAAAAAAATAATGCGTACCAAACAGAGCCTATATCAATGATTATATTTAGGATGCTTACCATTAGGTGTGTCTTCAACAAGCTGAATCTTGACATTTTTCTGGGTTTTAAGAATTGCATCTTGCAATTTCTGCTATCAAAATGGAGTAACTCTTAATTCTCACAAAAGGCTGACAAGAGCACAAATTAAGATGTAAAATTTTCATGAACGTATAACCTTAATTGCATTATCTGAAGAATTCTCCAGTATGCTCCACGGAAATGCAAAAGACGATGACTTGGGATTAGTAGATACACAGCCGGGATTTATTGAGGGGCAAGGTCTGATTTTTCTGCAATAGAAGAGCACTGATAATGTAACAAGTTATAATTAAAATAAATTTGATTTTTATGCAAAATAATTGCTGGCTGCAGATTAAAAATAAAGTAGAACTAGCATAATCAGTAAGAAAATAAGTCATCTGGCGTGGCCACAACAAATTCTATACTTCCGGCCCATTTGACAAGACTCTTGCTTTTACTTCTACTTCTACTTCTTGTAGTAAAGTTTCCTGATGAGACTACCTTCTCTAAAATCTTTTCTAACCAGATTAAGTACTTTTAGAAAGTTATCCAAACATGTTCAAAGACATTTTATTAATCTCATAAATAGCTTTTGGCTCTCCAAAAGCCCTACCAAAGGGCTTTCTTTTGTTGGGAAAAAATGGTATAATTTTGTTTTGCATGTGGATAATATATGGACAAGTTTAGCAACACAGGAATGATGTTAAATAGAATAACAACTTGGTATAAATCAAAAGTAGAAATGAAGAAGATGAAGAATGGATGAATTATCCAAAGTAAGTGAAAACACTCTTTCCTTAAGACAAATTTGCTCTGGTTCTAACAGAGTACGACAATTGTCTCCCAAGATATAACGAATTACTTTCTTGTATTAGAAGCACTTCAAACTACAAGGCAACCACGAACTTGAAAGGATTTTTCTCTCTACAAAGAATGATTTCGAATGCAAAGTTTTGGAGAGTTTTCACAAGAATTTTAATGCAAGACTCAAGAATATGATTTGGTATACCTATGACATTCAAAGGGTCCAATATATAGAGGTTGAGGGGTTCTGGATGGAAAAACACGCCTCAAAACTCAGCAATCTTTAGCAAGGGTCGCATCTTTTGCTGATGCTCACTTGTCGCCCATACGCCGCTCGAGCGCCAAAAGCAAAAAGTGTGTCGCTCGCCTGGTGCTGGGTTGTCATTAGGTGCTGAAAATTTTGATTTTTCCTCCAACTTTGGACACAATTTCTCATACATTCAGGATTGATTTTGAAATTCCAAATACACCATGATCATCTACTTGATGAGTAGAACAAATTGGTCTATTTATTTTCATAATTTGACAATCGGATCAAGTCCGAATATTTAGCTGAAGAACACAAAGCTTTTCACATTTTTCCAAGGTTTTATACATAAACAGTTTCATCTCTTTTAAACCAAATTCCAACATCTTTTACCCAAAACAATCTTATAATTAGCAAGGACAATATGAATCATTTCAAAATAATAATCTAGTGAAAAGTTATGGCTGCATTTGGTAGCATTTTCGGGACTTCAGAATTAGAATTGAGAAATGATTCACTCACTTAAAAGATGTTCGAGAAGGGCAATAAACATTCGTTTAGATCTTGTCTTCAACATAAAAAAATAAAATAAAAGGCAGAATACAAATTTAGCTATCCCAACAATGAAGACAAATGAATTCTGTTAAATGCCCTTTGAGTTTCAAGCAATAACAGCAATTCATAAGGCAAAATACACCAAAACCAGTATAAGAACTGAAAATATCACAACCTAATCTAAATAATCAAGAATTGAATGAAACCACAAACAAACAGATAATAGGAAATAGAGAAATACCCATTATCCAACCCAGTAGGCAAGTTCTTGGCCTGTGAAAATGGAGTGGAAGGAAGTGAAAAATTTTGAGAATTGGGAGATGGGATGGCTAATGTGGGTAGTGGAGTAGTGAGGGCCAATACAATGGCTATAGAGATAATGTTGTTGGACCCAAAAAGGGATTTTGAATTCGCTAAATTATTTTTATTAGAATTCTGTAGAATTTTACAACTGCTAAAAGTGGGAGCAGTTGCCTTGCTGCCATTGGTGGAGCTTGGTTTGGGAATGGAGATTGAGGGGAAGTAGTAATGGAGAAGGTGACCACTCAATCCCGAAGGCATATCTGTTTAAAAAAATTCCCAGAATCTCGCTTCCTTAGCAGCAAAATCGCATTCTATAAGCCAACCTTTCGAGATTCTGACACATTCCCCAAACTAATTTTATTAACACCATCATCCCCAACCTTTCAGAAAATAGTCAGAGTTAGTCCCTTTAGATGGAATCCCTCCAATTTGACTGTTACGATAACGTAAAATGATGACTTTACCCTTAGCTTTCATTAAACTAAAAGAAAAAAGAAAGATAAAAATAACTTAAGGAGCCCAAAAAAGAAAAATAACCAAAATACCTTTGACCCATTCATCTTGTTCCTTCACCTCCACAAATCTTCAAGTTGCCTAAAAAAAAAACTCGTATATTAACTAAAAGATATATTTTACTTATATAATAAACTGAGACGCCATACTGCAAGTGTCGATATGTCCGAGTGGTTAAGGAGACAGACTTGAAATCTGTTGGGCTTCGCCCGCGCAGGTTCGAACCCTGCTGTCGACGCTAGTTATTTCCATTTTTGCCTTTCTTTTACTTTTTGTATCGTTGGCACTCATTCTGTACTGAAGAATTATCCTAATAAAAATTTTCAAATTTAGGCTGAGTTTATAGCATGTTAGTTTGGAAAAGTAATTGATAAGTTTTTGTATAAGATTTCTTCTTCCTCATAATCATTCGTATTACACAATTAATAATTTTGGTTAGACTTTAGGACTTGTCCTTTGTTTTGGTTTGTTGTCCGTTATATGCAAGAAGTCCGATGTATGTTGCTCTTCATCCTTATATTATATACGAGGAGTTCTCACGCCTTGCTACATTTTGGAAGTCCCCTTGCTTTGATGCCTAGGCTCCATGTAAGATGGAGGCGGTAACATTATCAAAGAAGGTTCACACAATTAGAAATAAACCACTCCCCACTCTTGTTTAAGCTCTACAAAAATAAATAAAAGTGAAGAGCCTTCAAATATTGTGAAGCCACTAACTCAATAAAACTCTGTTGAATTGCAATCCCAAGTCCAGAAATTGATTGACGTATAAACGGCTAACAAAATCACGACAATTCCAGACAATATACATGCTAATACCTGTCTAATCGAGCTCAGTTATGTTCATTTACTGTACAAATGATGAATAGGAAGACAATAAAATCTATCATCAAGAAACAAGGAAGAAAAATATAATGCCATGAGAACAAGTGCACCAAAGGACTTCCGTCTATCATTCTTCTGAACTGATAATGAAAAAACAGAGTAATATAAAATGGGTATACAATTGCATTCTTTTATTAGGGGAACTTCCTGCAAATACAATATGTACATCGAAAATGACTTCATATTCCAGTCGTAACACAACACGTGTGATGAAAATTAAGACTTGATGGAGGCACAACTCCAAACCTTAACAGAGCAGACCCAAAAATTTACCTTCGCTGTATATATGTAGATCTACAAAACCAATGTTATAACCTGATCACCAGTCAATTCAACCGGGCCTTCAAGATTCAGAAACTTGCATGGTAAGTCCACTTTCATGCAAAGTGAAATTGGTTATAAATTACTCGTAAATAATTAATTCCCAGCTCGCCTCAAGAATGCTAATACACCTAAACCGGCAACTAGCGCAGCCCCGGCTGCCACAGCACTATATGCAGAAGCCCATGCATCTGCTTGAGCATATTCAAGACTTCCAGAATTTGAACCCCTCCGACGACGAGGGGTCCCTGAATAATCTAAATGCAATCTCAATCCCTGTTCAGGTGAATTACCGATATCATTAGTAATTTATTTTACACATGCATACAGAGGGGGTAGACAATGGAAAGTAACAGGACGTTCAACTATGAATCTCCAACTGCACAGGTATTCAATTACTCGGGGAGAAACTGTTCAAATTCTGTTCCAAAAGGAAGGAAAAAAAAGGAGATGGAAGGCAATATCAATACCTTCCAACCAGCTTGCTTCGCATGGTCTACAGCTGCTTGAAGATCACTATCTGATGCAACTACTACCTTGTCATGGTCTTCATCTTCGTACTGCAGGAGAGTGATAATCCATAAGCATAAAAGTTGGCAAGGAAAAAACAAAATAAGAGAGTAAACAGCAACACCACAGCATACCAGAATCAGTGGAAGGTTGTTACGATCAATGTCGTCCCCTACTCTCTGAAGAATGGCAGTTACGACATCCGTCAAATTTTGTGTATCTGATTTCAGAAACAGCAGTAAATTGTCTGACCATGAAAAATTATTTCTTTTATATAAAAATGAAGATGATAGAAGTCAAAACAGTGTCAAAATACACGAGAAGGTCACTTTAACTGTACTGCTTCAGCATGATATGTGGTTAACATTTCTACTTGGTTAATTTCCTTCTCCAGATAATTATTACTTTGCAGTACTAGGGCACGTAATTTTACAAATGACAGGAATAAAATAAGCAACAGCTAAAGCGAAGTCCACAACTCAGATTATCAGGAAAGGATGTCTGTGCTAATTTGCAACATGTCAATTGATCGGTAAACCGACCTCATATTTTTGCAGTAACCGTGACTCACGCGCAATGCGTTAAAGATTAATTAGTCAGAAGATCAGTTCGCGTTAGAAGAAGATAACATACCACAATTAAAGCGATGCATTCTTCCCTTTTTGTCTTGAATCTTGAAAGCAAAAGTATTGGGAGCGCTAGACATAGAATATGAAAGAGATCGACCTGTTTCTGCTCCTTCAGAAGCCATCCTTAAGGAATTTTCACTGGGAAATCATCGATACATGTTAGAAAAGTATCGAGTAATTGAGAACAACATTAAAAACAGACGGTAAAGCCTATAACCTTCTTGTCTCTTCCTCATTGTCAGGAGTTAGGTCCATGGCAGAATCCCAGAACCTTTGCATCATAGTATTTGCAGCCTCACTATTGACTCCAGCAGTATTTCCAACCTAGTAAAGTACAGAAGGTCAGAACATTAAACCACAAATACTTGTGATTCACTCAATTAACATATTTTGATGCATAATACTTGCAAATTAAACAGATGTGAACCCTTCAAGTATTATTTTGGCCCCAAAAGACTTAAATTAACTTACTGTAGCTACTGCAGCATGAGTTATATGAAGCACGTCAACAACAGCAACAACCATTCCATCTGATCATTTTCATAGGTGATAATTAATTTATAGATAACGCCAATATAAAAATAAAATGGTAGAACGTCTATCATGAGCTTCCAGCATTGTTATGGAGGTGTGTGTACCTCTGTCAACGACTGGAAGGTGTAAAAATTTCCCATCATGCATGGTATGAAGAGCATCAACAATAGGTGTATCAACTGTCGCACATTCTGGATTTGGGGTCATCACCTGCAGAACCGTAATGAAGGCAAAATAGTGCCATGCTCAAACTACTCTTCCAGTCATATGGATAAAAAAATAACATAGAAGTCATCTACACTTGAAGAAAATTCAATGAAATGCTTGCATTTAAAGCATGAAAAGATGCATAGCTCCAAAAGAACAAGGATGTAAAAATTCGGCTACAAATAACTGCCCTGCTGTGAAGGGAGAAATGGTTACCTTCTCCACCAAAGTGGACTCAGGTGGAAGATCTTGAGCTATGACTCGCATCAACATATCCTTTGAGCTGAAATAGATTTACAATGTGCAACCATTATATTATCAACATCACACAAAAGAAAAAATACCACAATTTGTATGATTTTTCCGTCTGATGCAAATAAACTCCAACGTGAGGGGAGACTCACGTTAAAATTCCCCTAGGCTTGTTTTCTACTGTTACAATGGCTGAGCTTGTTCGAAATTCAAGCATCTTTTGTGCAGCCACTAGAACAGTATCACTTGGAGCAACTGTAACAATCCTGACAAAATCACGATAAGAGTAATAAGATTATAAAAGTGACACTGATTGTCATTGTAATTATTTATTGATGGAAGAAAGATAAACCTCACAAATGCTAAAACTAAATGGGAAAATATTACCTACTTTGAATTGTCAGAAATTATTGTAGATAAAGAGGGCTTAAACATTCTCTCTCGTAGTGTTTCAACGAATGTATTAGGACCTACATATAAACCAATCATAACTTGTATCACATAAAATGACTTGTAAATTAACATAAGAATGATAAACTGGATGGGTAGCATGTAAAAAGGCAAATGTGGAAAGGAACATTGTAAGTAAACATTAGCCACCAACCCGAAACAGATGTACCCCAGTGTTTCTCAACACCTTCCACAGCAGCAGCAATGGCCTTTCCCTTCTCAGCTGCCCTCTCCATACGAGCAATAGCATCATACAAACATTTTGCTATATCAAGTAAAGCAATAACCTCCCCGTTGTCAACAACAGGTAAATGTCTAAATTTTCCTGCATACAGGAATATCATTTTTAAAAGTAAGATCTAGAGCAAGATTCATAAGAGAGTATTAAAATGTAAAAACATATTACGAGAAAGGAAGCTAACCTTGAACCATCTTTTGCAAGGCATCCACAGCAAGAGTGTCAGAAAGCACAAAAACCGGATTTCTTGTCATGACTTTGGAAACAGGCGTTTCTTCAAGATTAACCTCACGAGCAACAACTCTTGTAGCGATATCCTTCAATCAAAAAGGAAAAGAAAAATAAAATAGATAAACAAGAGTAAGAGAAAGACATCAGAGAAAGATCTAGACTTTTAATTGCTTCAGATTTACCAAATGTGTAATAGAAGTCATACCTTATCTGTCAGGATTCCACACAGTAATGCATTTGAATCAGTCAGCAATAAGGCATCAACTCTACGAGCAGCCATCCGACGACAAGCTTCATTAATACTTGTAGTTTCAGGAACTGTCAAGGCTTTTGACAGCCGCAATCGCTTCACTGTCCGCTCGCCCGCAAGTCCCCTGTTCCAAACGTGAGGTAATCTAAATAGCAATTCCAAATGTGCTGATATTGAGTGTCAGGGTGCTTCTTAAACATTCAGGAACCCTCAATGAAAAATGCAACTGTATAATCTAGTCATCTGATGGTGTTGATTCAGCAATTAATTGCGCAGATGTCTATATAGTGTTAAGTAAGAATTTTGAAAAGTTTCATTCATCCTTATGGATTAGTAAAAGTTGGCTTGCAGTCAATGCTATATACTGTGAGAAGCTTTTGCCCTAAGGGAACAGGCTAAACACAAAAAATTCAATTCTGTTCATGAAACTAAGATACTTAAAAACAGTTTAGCCTTTTGGTTATTATGACTGAACCCACCACATATTATGATTAACGTTATTTAATTTATGAAACCAACTTCTTCAGTATGTGATTGTCAAAAACATAATATAGATAAAGTGTTCTCCTTGAATACTGATATCCAATAATCTTATAAAGCCAAAACCTTCAACCACATTATGCAAAATGTAATTTACAAAACTATCTTATCATATTCATAACATATATGCGCATAGCTTCGCCTTCTATCTACATAACTTACATAGACCGAGAAGTAGAAATAGACTTGCGGTGAGTTGAGGAGGAATCGCCAGCTCCTCCGCCGCCTCCATTCTCAGCGGCGGATTTCCTTCTTACCTGCGACGTTGAGCTGGTCAACGACATGCTTTTCCTTGATGATCCTCCTTGGCTCGTCATATAATCGATCAATAATCCACCACCTACAACACATTCATCCATTAACAATCAATATTAATCTACCACAAAAAAATAAAAAAAAAACCAAAAATAAACAAATTCCAACCCGATGTGATTACACAAAATCGAATGTCGAAAACAAAAATAACGAGTCAAAGAGGATTTTTTATTTTTATTTTTTCTTTCCGGGAAAATTGATTGATTAATTTTGCATGAATTTCCCGAAGAGGGAAAAGGGAAACGCCCGGCTCAGAAATTGGAGGGTTGAGAATTTTTTGGAATTGGATAATTTTGGAAAGAAATGTTTTGTTAAAAGATTCGGGGGTCCTAAATCCTTAACGGAAGGGTCGAATTCAATTCTTTGCGTTTCTTTGGCCAGCATTCATGATTAATTTGGGAAAATTGTGAGACTGGTCCTCAATCTTCTGCCTAATAACAAGTTGACTTTCAACATTTAGTCCATGTTTGGTCCACATTAATTTTTTCATTCACATTCTTCTACTCATTTTTAACTACATATTCTTCAATAAAATAATATTTTTATCACATCAATTTTTCTTATTTTTCAACCACATATTCTCCATCACCTCAAAAACAAAAATGCATTCTTGGTTAAAAAATGTGTACCAAACGGAGACTTAGTAGCATAATTATGAGACCATTTGGTTATCAACCAAGCCAAAGTACTATGAGGTCTAGTGTTCCCCTTGCAAGAACCCTTATATCTTTACTTAAAAGCAGTTTAGATTTGAGTTTAGTTTAGTTTAGTTTAATCAATGTCATTTATTTTGAGTTTGATTGATATTTATATTTGACATATTCTTGAATAATGGTACGATGACGTCAATCGAATAGGTAGATAAGTGAATTTTGTTGATATTCTATCGACCAGTCCAAATTTTGTAATAGATAGCTCGATGGCCATCAACATTTAAATATAATTACAAATTAGTATAAAGACAAAAAGTAATACAGTTTTATATTAAAATCGTTGCGAAATCTTGCATAAATGTGCAACGCTTTAAATTTCTAAGCATGGGCATTGAGATACAAAATATAGCTTCATAAATTGAGATATATGAGTTGATGTGATTTAACAGGACATTTTGCAACTATAATGAAAAGTTGAAAATTAAATTGTGAACCAACTGACTATTAGACAATGGGTTGAGGACTAAAAGTGTGATTGTTTTCCCTTTAATTTCGGTCAGAAATAGACTCAAGAGTAAGGCCCAATAACCAGCAGGTAACCCAATGATACTACTGAATGAAAGAATTAAGCCCAATAAAATATTATTTAGTGGAAATTACACGGAGCCAAGTCATCATTTCAAAAATCAGATTTAAAGTTTATTTTTACAAAAAATCATATCATAATTCAACATTTCAATATTAATAATAATATTTTAAGATTAAATTAATCTATATACCCATCTTATCTATCTCCATCCACCTAAACTCTAATTATTTTCCTTTCTCCCTTCTCCCTTCTTTTTCTTTTAAAACACTGAACCACCACCGAAAGTGACGTCGTGCACATTGTCGATGAAACAACGACACGATACGGACATGACCAACTTATTTGTTAAACAGTTACCCCGTTTACCACATTGAAACACAAACACAAACATAGACAAAGCGAGCGGCAATGTTATCCCAGTGTTTGAAGATCTCAGAGCGACGGCGTCATCTCCAGCATCACAACGCAACAGCTTGGGATGATTTTCATATTGCCGTGGTTTTTTGAAATTTTTCAGAGATGGGTGGGGTGTATGGTGGTTCCGTGTCAAAGGGGTGTAATCTTCAGTTTTCAATTTCTAGAAATTTTATGGGGATGGGGATCGGTTGGGTGGGGTTGAAGTGATTCCATGGGATTCGGTGTAATCTTTGGTTTTCAATTTGAAAATTTTCTAGGAGGGATAGGGGGTGTGTAAAGTGAGTGGTTCCATGGGTGGGATATAATCTCTAGTTTTCAATTTTTGGAAAAAAATTTGGGTTGGAGAGTTTGTAAGTTGTGAAATGTGTTTTTTTTTTTGGGAAAAATACATAAACAACGTTTTTAGTATACACCATTTCAAAATTAAGAATAGAAGTTTTCAATTTCAAAAATCAGGGTTTTATTAAAAATTATTTATGATTTAATTAATTAATTAAATATATTAAGCTTACAGATCTATGCAATTTGGTCACACTTCAAAAAGGTTACAGATCTATGCAATTTGGTCACAATTCAAAATTTTTATAAATCACATTTTGTTCATCGATTACAAATTAAAATTTTAAAAATCACAATTTATTCATCGATCATAAATCACAAAATTTATAAGTCACACAACTTATTTTATGGTCACAAAACATCAAATTAATTAATCACAAATTATATTTAGGTCACAATTTATCAAATTATTGGTATCAAATTAATAATTTTTAGGTCACACATTGTTTATTGGTCACACATTAACCAATTTAATCGTCACAAACGACCAAATAATATGTGACCACCACCAACTTGTGACCACCATCTCATCATTCCCTTCAGCAACACCACTGTCACTGTCACCGCCAAAACCACCACCACCTCCCGATGCAACAGCACCTCAAACAAATCAATACATCGCAAAAAAACACCACCGCATCCTCCCACCGAATCGCCATCGCCGCCACCAATAAAACCACTGCACACAACCGCAGAACAACCACCGTCTCCTCTCATAGATCTACTTCGCTTCTCGCAGATCTCACAGACCACTATGCCGGCGCTATTACAGTCACCACCACCACCTCGCACACCAGCACAGCCCACATCGCCACCACCACCATCAACGCACACTACCACCTTACACCAGATCCAACCACAACCACACACATCACCAAAATCGCTGCTGCTAGAAGAGGCTAACTCAGCGGTGGCTTCGCGACAAAGATAAAGAAGAGGCTTCGCGACAGAGAGAGTATAAGATGTGATAATAGATAGCGGTGGTGCCTCGGGGTGGCGGCAGCGGCGGGGATAGAGAGAGAGGAGAGAAAATGGGTCGACTGGAGAGAGAGAGAGAGAGGTGAGAAAATGAAATAATTAGTGTTTGAAATTTGTAGGATTGATTTAAATAAAAATTAATTTAAAAATCATTAATTAAAACCCGATTTATGTATTATTAAAGTTGATTCTGGATTTATGAAAATTGTATCTTAGAAACCAGTGAGGCTGTAATTTCCTTTTTATTTTTATGTGTAGGAGTTATATATTGTTTCCAAATGAGAAAGTAATCTCAAACGAAAACTGGGCCAAAACCTAATTTATAAATATATTAATTTTAATCCAATCTTATTAACACCTGATTTCTGAAAGGTAAAGTTTCACATCTTATTTTTGAAATATAAAATTTAAAGGTATTGGTTTGCTTAATTTTCCCATAAGGGCTATTCATACAGAGGAAATTACACCAACATTTGTCACTTAATTTTAAAAATAATAACTATTAGAGCCTTTGAATGTAACTGTTATCTCTTTATTGTTGTACAAAAGCAATATTTTTAGTTTTAGCCCCGTTTGATTTATGTATACAAAAAAAACTTGATAAAATTTATAGTTAAAATCAATAATTAATTTTAACCATATATTTTATAGAATTTACAATTTTTATCAATTTTTTTAACCATATATTTTATCATTTTTTATCAAAATTTATTAAAAATTAAACTTTTAACTAAAGGGGTTTAATCAAAAATCATATTATTAGTAGACAAAAGCACAAACTTTCTCCAACATAATCAGTGTACCTGCCTGGGCACGAGGATACTACACTTGACCACTAATGTCTTATCCAGCAAAAGAGAATAAAAATTGGAGTAGGATTTGAATTTTAAAAGCTCCTCGTACTAGTTGGGACTCCTATTTTTTCCTTTAAACTTATCTCGATTGATTAAGCTACGACACGTCTCTCGTAAATACCAAATGTTATTGGAAGTCAGGCACAAGAATGTGTCTACCTAGTTGTGGAATTAAAATTTTAATGCCCGATTGATAGATAAAGAAAAACCACTCATACGTATCGACAACACATTTCGGCACTAACTACGGTTGTCGTCATCTTTATGCTAATAATGATTAACACTTTTGAATTTTAAAGTTTTTTCTATTTTTTTCAAAGTTAACTCTGATGATTAATTTTATCTTGTCTCACGATAAATTCTAAATTGGTCCAGAAATCAAGCATCAGTAAGTGCATCTATTCAATATGCAAATTAAAATTCTAATTCATGCTTGATAAAGAAAGACAAACTACACATACACGTATACACACATTAGAAGATGCCAACAATTATCTTCGATATCAACTTGTTAGTAATGACGACTGTATTGAGGGCTATTGTTAAGACTCGAACCTGTGACTTATGTGTGCTTCCCAACAATTATGTTAAAATCGTGTTTCTGGGATTGACACTTCTATTAATTGGAGTGTAAGGTTGGATTGTTGACACTTGACATTTCACTCGCCGTTGAATGTGATTCTAGAGGCTTCCATCTATATCTTTCAAGAGACGTTTTGCGAGATTCATTTAGTTCATTCTGGTTTTTGGCTCTTGCGTCTGTTCTTCTTCGTTTAGAAAGAGAGAACCTCATTCTTACCTAGGGTTTCACATTCTTGAGTGTTTAGATTGTGTAAACCGTATAATCTCTTAGATCTACTTCTAATTGTTGAGAAGTAAGGGTTTATGAATGATTTGTACACTGAATCTTTGTGGTTCGAGTGGTTCGTGAGGTGTTTTGATAGAACTTAGTGATCTGTCCTGTTTTGTGCCTTAAGGGTGTGTTCGATCCAAAGCCTTGTGTAAAGATCAGTCTATGTGGCTTTGTCTTGTATTCTTGAACTGTTTGTAATTGTTGGCTGCCATATTTTTGGCTGTTAGTGTAACCGAACAATATCCATTATTTGGATGCTCAAAAGGGGATATAGGAGTTAAATCTAGTCGTCGAACCTCCGGGGCTTAGGCCGAAATATATCTTGTATCCAATCCTTTAATTTTCTGCAACTTTACTTTCT